AGTGAATGACTTAATGGATACAAGCTGGATTTTATTAATCCCTTGCATTAAGTTTAGACATTGAGACAAAGGGATACAGTTACACGGAGTCTGAGTCGTGGAAAGGTTTTGGCGGTGCAAACGTCTTAACTTATAATCTGGGGGCAATAATGTGTTGCTAGATACCGCTTATTGCTTATAGTATTGATGCAGAGCCAATACTGTGGCCAGCTTTATAAGTGCCTATACGGGTCACACACTTTGGACAATTTAAGAAGTAGGATTAAACAATGGGATAATAAGTAATTTGTATATTTGTAAAAATAGTAAAATAAAATATTTTGGAATATAATATTATATATATATATATATATATATATTAATATCAAGAGAGAAAATTATTTGTTTGGTTCCATTAATATCATTTTGTGTATAGAAAATATTTATAATATTTTCTAAATATTATTAGAAATACTTTCTATTGAAATATACAAGATTATTATTATCCCAATTTTAATCTTTATATTTTATACTACTATAATCTTTACTAGCATAAAGATTGTGGTAGACTCCGGCGTTGTTCGTGTGTCAAAGTTGGAGACCGGACGCTTGAACGGTTACGTTTGCACTTTCAACGCTCTTCCTACGACCTCTTCGTTTTTACCGCTTGCGGAGAAAGGTATAAATTTCTTACTCACTATAAGTTTTAGTACGTGATTCTGGGCAAGATAATCATGTTAGGATGTTAAAAATTTTTATATTCCGCTGCCTATCCTTGCATGGTTACCTTTCACAAGCAAATAAAATTTTCGTAATTTTTAAATAGTGAAGTGTGATATTCTATGTGTGGCGAAAGGATTATATGAAGAATTGTATGGAATAACTAGTTTTTATTCTAATTTCAACCCATTACAATACATTTTATTTGTTTGAGGGTTAATTTGATTAGTTTCAAACCAATTCACTCAATATTAGTCAATAACATTAAATGTTAGCATTGCCATTTTGAAAAGACTCTCTAGCGGCACCATTTAGTGTTATCATTTTCAAATTTGATCTATACCATTACATTTAGGTGTAAAATTAATTATATTTGACTGTATTAAATTTAATTTTATCTCATTTTGACCGAATACACTCAAATAATTTATAAATTTTGCACTCAATTGAATAAAATTCACTTAATTTTAGGGCTGGGTTGGGAAAACCGAAAACCGCAAACCGAACCGAAACCAATCGAAACGAGCTAGAAAAAAACCGAACCAAAAAAACCAAAACCGAATGTAAAAAAACCAAACCGAACCGTTAGTGTTTGGTTCCGTTTTGGTTTTCACTTTGAAAAACCAAACCAAACCAAATAAATCGAACTTTCTTAGATACTTCGCTTTTTTTATATAAATATATGTGATATGTAGAAAAATCATAGAAATATAAATGCAAATAAATTACTAGTCGATTAAAATTATTTTCTTAACTATTAATTAAACATTTTAGCCATACTATTATAAACTTTTAAAAAATCTAAGAATATAAACTCCAATAGCTAATCCAAATATAGAATTATATTAACATTAAATATTGATACGAGTAATTTACATATTTACATAAAAAAATACTTTGATGTTATAATGAAAATGAAAGTATTATACTAAAAAACACAAATTCTTCGTAATTAATTTTACATACGATGTCTTTAGAAGTATTTGGAATCTCCTAAATGTTTGTTGGGTACTCAACACATATTTTTTTTATGTAAAATTGAATCGAATGATACAATAATCTTCCGTTTGATTTTTGTTTTTGTGTAAAACTCAAACCAAAAAACCAAACCTAACACAACATATTGTTATTGCTCCATCGAGTTAGTGTTTTTACAATTTTTTAATGCTTATAAATTTTTACTTTTATAAACCGAAAAAACCAAAAAAAAACCGAAATAAAAACCGTATAAAACCAAACCGAATAACCAATGGTTTACATATTTTTTATGCAAAACCGAACCGAACTGCCAATTTACCTTCCGTTTTGTCTTTGGTTTTGGGTGAAAACCGAACCGCAAAAACCGAACCCACCCCTACTTAATATCACTCATTTTCACTCAATTTTTACCAAATTGTATTCAAATGGAACATAACACAATTTCAGTTTATCTTTTATGTTTTCATTTATAAACATAAATATATTAGTAAATGTGAGAAACATTTGATATATCAAAGCTAAATTTTAAAATCAATATATTTATATTAAATTTATATCATAATTAAATATATATATATATATATATATATATATATATATATTCATAATTTGTAGTCCAAATTTCTAAAATAGGTCTAAGAAGTCAAAAAGGGAAGATTTTTTAGAGTAGAGATAATATAATTAGAAACACATATAAAATAATACGAGGTATTGAATTGATGATAGATTGATAAATGTGATAAAAATAAAAAGAAACATGGATAATTAAACTTTAATTATAAAATAATATATATCCAAAATATATTTGATCCGAAACCGAAATATATCCGAATCGAACTAGACCCAAAATCAAAATATATCCAATTCAAATTATATCCGAACTGAAATCTATCCGAACCGATTTATAACCAAACCGTATCCGAACCGACTCGAAACTGAACCGAACCGAAAAATGTATAGAACTGAATCAAATCCAAACCAAAATTAAACCATTCGGAACCAAAACGAATCGATTATAACATATATCCAAAAGATATACGAGCCAAAAAAATCCAACCCCAAACCGATCTGGTTGACCCGATTGCCACCTCTACTTGTGACCCATGCCATACTAACTCAACATCAGGGGCTGCTTAGGGCAGGGTGGCTATCTGACAGAAGCTCATTTTCGTAGAGCTCCAAAACCAAATAGAACACCCTTCAGATAAACCCAACTCATCCCAGCCTTGGCCATACCAATCTTGACCATGACATTTCATCTTTCAACCTGTCTATCAAGCACATAATTTAATTCCTTAGCCAGCAACATTTGTTTAGCAATATTTGTTGAGCACTATTTTAAGACTTTTAAGCGTATTAGCCAATTACCTCATCCCTCTAACTCTGGGGGTAGCTTTCCAGAAGGGAGAAACATTATCTAAGGAGGGGTGGGAGGCCCAACAGTTGATGAAGCTGAATGATGAGATTTAACCCGACGACTATGGAGCAAGGAAGAACTCAAATGTGAATAAAAACAATATAGAATGGAATATAACTCTTGTATTATTATATTAGCTTGATTTAACCCCCTTACAATGCGGAATTCTTTCCCTATTTATGGTCTTGTAAAATATTGTGGATCGTGCCTTAATTGTGGCCGAGAAATTTGTTAATGATCCCCTCCAAATCCCCATGATGTCATGTACCTCCTCACGCTTCCCTTCCTTAAATAATTCCCTGAGCATAGACGAGCCCTTGGTCCCGTACGTCTCTTGGACTGTGCTTATCTTCACTGGCTAGATTAAAGTCTCGATCATGTTGGGCCTAGTATTATCTTGTTTTGGCTTGTGATTGCTCATTCCTTCAGCCAATTGTTAGATAAGGAATGCAACTCTAGAAGGGGGGGTAGTAGAGTTGTGGTCTAGAATGAGTGTTTTTTGCAACTAATAAGATAAAGCGTAAAACTTGCAGGAATAAAGTGAAGAGTAGAGAGGAAGAAGAACACCGCAATGTATACGGGTTCACCACCTCGTGGCTAACCAGTTCTCCGAGAGACTCTCTCAAAGGTCTTACTAATCTTCATGCTTCAACGGACAACGGGTGCTTGAAAAACCTTTTACAATTTGAGAACTTGAATCCCATAAGCCTCAACACTTACAAACAAGACTTGAGTCACACAAGTCTTAGAAACCTCAAACTCAAAAGAAAAAATGGGTTTACAATAACACAAGAATGAAAAGCTCATACAATGAGAAAGTAGTGTTTAAAGATGTAAGCTCTAATGGATGACAAAGTATTTGCACTCAAGAAAATATGTCTATACTCTCAAAAATAATGATCTTTTTGGAGGAAGAAGATTGAGCAAGAGATATTGTAACACCCTAATCCGTCCAGGTTTGCAGCCCCTTTCGGACTAAAGTATTAACTTGGTAATCGTAAAAATTTAAAACATTTCAAACACTTTTATTTATCATAATAATATTTTTCATAATATAAACAGTACGGAGTATTTAACAATATTGCGGAAGCGAATTTAATTTTGACATATCATAAATCATTTCAAACTTGTCACATCCATCCCGACAATCTCGCCCCATCTGCCGCCAGGATCACATTGTGCTTTCTGCTTACCTGCGTGTAGCAAATAAAACACACTACACGCTCAGCGGTAAAGCTGAGTAAGCATATCTAATGCGTCGAACATCCATATAAACTGAATCTAAATTCATAATCAAATCATTTGATATCATGCACACAATGTTCATTTCAGACATTCACAGTTTTGGTATTATTCAGTTCATATCAACACATTTTATTCAATTCAGATATTAATCCAATAGTGCTCTTAAATTATTCTTAATCTAAGGCCAGATCATAACAACGCTCTTAGCTATTCTTAGTCTAAGGCCAGATCATAA